TTTAATTAAAGCAACCATTTAATTAAACCATCATTAATTAGGAAAACTCTCCATTAATGTAAAAAAAAAAAAATTGGCGTGCAGCTGGCCGCAGCAACTGGCGCACCGCCCGAGCTGGCAGTTGTTGCTGCCAGCTGCACGCCGGGGCCACTTTCCTTTACAGAATCGCCAAAACCAATCTAATATTTGGGGATCCAAATGGCAATTTTTCCTATATTTGGAGATCCTCCCCATTTATGGAGATCCATTGGATGCTACTTTTCTCCATTTTTGGAGACTTCTCCATTTATGGGGAATGCATTGGAGTTAGCCTTAGCTGGCCATGGAATTGTGCTCTTTCACTTGGATTGCCGGATACCAAGACGACCTGCACCAACCCACCCTTCATTCATTGCCATTTGTGATTTGCCGTACACAAAAAGAAAACAACCCATATGCTCCAATCCCAAGGCAAAAGCCTAAAATCCTTCCTAGCCATGCATACTATCATGAAATTTCCGGCACAATCCACAATCCTATGAGTTATGGCTGCAATTGCAGCATGTTAACTATTATAGGCTGCCAATTAACATAAGGTACCGTTTTATTATGATGAATAGGCATATAGGGGAACTTTTGCCTTAGCTCCATCAACATTGAATTTTTATCAACCCATTTAAACACCCACTTGAAATTAGGATCATTTAAAGCAGGGCCGGCCCACGATATTCGAAGGCCCTGTTCGAAAATTCAGAATGTGGACGTAAAATATTTTCCCAAAAATTTGAAATGTTGCCCTAAAATTTAATATAAGACTTCAACAACTTCAATTTCGAGAAGCTTCTTCATGTTGTAGCAACAGTCACAGGAATAATTAATAAGATTCTATAAAATATGCTTGCATTTTAAAAACAATCGAAAAGTTTCAAAAAGATTAGAATTTAAAAAAAATATTTATTATTGATTTAGTTATTTTTTCCTTTATACTATTGCTGGCTTGTACCTAACTATTTTGGTTAATGTTTAATAAATCAATGTGAATTATTTAATTAGTTTTGGATTACTGCCTTGGTAGTACAAGCAGATTAATTGCCGAAATTGAATTCTTTTTCCCAATGGAAGCTGAAAATGAAGAAAGTTAAAGCAATAAATTTAATAATGATAATAATGAGGCATCATTATTTACCTCTTTTTTTCTATTTAGGAAACAGACGGCAAAAAATAAGTTATGTTATATGGTTTAAATTTTTTCTAATAAGAAAACAAGTATTCACCTCATGTGATTCGAAACCTATACAGTCCAACCCCAAACTGATAATTCTCTTCACTACAAGTTCCTTAAAAAATGTTGACTGGGTTTTAGCTAAAATTCAATCCAGCTAGACCAAATAGGCGCAATCAATCAAAGCAAATTTGAAAGGCAAACAAGAAAAATTAAGGATGGTAGACTAGACAGGAGCTGATCGTCCATCTCGATGATAGGATTGGCGACTCTTACCTTCTCGAACGACATTTCTACTTGTTGCTGCTTTCTGCTTCTTGCACCGGCCAGTCCTTTTCTTTCTCCGATGGTCTTTTCACTTCCCAGTACTCAGTCACGGCGGTGCGAACTTACTTAGTGAGAGGGAGTGGATCGTCATTGGAAGAGTATTAAAGAATCACAGCACATTGAATTAATGATTCCAAGAGGAATCATTATTTATTTATCAGAGTTTCTGACGAGCACATGCGAGAAGAAGCCCTTGTTCTTCTCCTCATTCCTACATGACTAACTTATATTGGCGATGAAATTGGCGAATAGGCAAATTGCTTGCCCACTAATGACACTAAACAGGATCCTCATAAGAACACGCCTAATTTCATCCGTGCTGGCGCTGGAAATAATAATTGAAAGGATTATAATTTTTTTAATTTATAATAATTAGGTGGAAAATAAAAAAAAATTCTATTTTATTATTTTTTAATTGTCACATCACTCATTTAATGGTCAACTACAATAGTTGACCGCCACATCAGCAAAAATTAACGGAGACTAACGGCCAGTGACCAAACTTGAACCGTTAACCTAATTTAAGTGACTACGAATGAAATAAATTAATTTTAGTGGCAAACGTTAACTTGTTAAGTAATTCTAGTGACCAAAATTACAATTTAGCCAACCAAGCTGGATAAGAGAGACATGTTGACGTCAAGCATCTAGATCCAAAGTGGATTAAGAGTACTTCGTAAGTCTATTTTCTGATGACACATTTTGTCATATGCTTTAAAATCAAGGAGTGAAAGACACATTGATGCGATCCGTTTGGTGTGGATAGAGTCTACACACCATATTTCCATACTCAAGAAGAAAATGAGTGGAACCTTAATCAGGATCCAGAAATCCCCAAAGTAGAGATTTTAAGAAATGTCTTTACTTGTTCTTCTACTAATCTCAAATAAGCTCAAAAAAACAAAGCCACATAGCTTCATTTTTTCTGTCTTTGTTTTTTGGCAAAATACACTTCCATAGCTATAACTTTTACATTTGTGACAAATATAGCCATAATTTTTGAAAAACACAAAATAGTAAGAATTTTGAATGTTGTATGACAAATTTAGCCATTTTCGTTATAAATTGTAACGGTGTTAGAAACGGCAACACTAACGAGATGTTGATGTGCTTGCCACCTCACCTCTATGTCAGCTCCATGTAGATTTAGAAATTAAGAAAAATCAATGGCTTTTGACCTTTTGTTCTCCACCATCCCTATTCCCTTCCAACTTTCCCCCTTCTGTTTCTTAGCTTCCTCCGCCACTAGACCACCACGCGTTATCTTTTTCCTCCTCCCTCTCCACTCCCAACCACCTCTCAACTAGCAATAATTCTTTCCATGTCCCTAGCATCTCTACCCAGCAACTCTTTCCATCTCCAACCTCCCAAATCGTCTACATCCCTAAAATCACGAAAATCGTCGACGTGCTACCAAAATAAATAATCGCCGCCATAGGTAAAGCTGAAGGAGGGAAGGGCAACCACCCAATAGCTAATCCCGTTCGTCGATTATATGCGCAGAAGAGATGAGGTATGGACTGAGATGTCGATTTGCTTTTGGGTCGTGCACCAATCGAGATTAAGGGATTTCTAGTGTATTTTCGACATGCAACACCAACAACTGTCAGATCCAGTGTCGAGAAAGCGGTCGAGGAATTGTGTGAACGGAAACGGAAACCCTCTGTTCTCGCCGTAAGTTATCCTTCATGCCAATCAATCGATTCTCCAATGGTGGGTTTCTATCAGGGGAGACGATCCGCCTTTGGTGGTAGACGATGCAGTAAGAGTGTGAAGGATGAGTTTTTGTGTTAGTGAATTATACAGATCTGGGGATGGGAATAGTCTGCCGAGTCAGAGAAAGTGGATTTTTGCGGAGGTGTGGTGGTTGTAGTAGACGGTGGTTTGGGAATTTTGGTTCGAGCTTTTTTGGAAGCTTCAAAACAAGAACGAGGAAAATAAATGAGAAAGTGAAAAAAAATTGTTAGAGTAAAGATTGATTTGTTATTGATTTTGGAAACCTTCAAAACTGGCGAGAAGCCCAGTCGCCGCCTCTGAAGCCTGGTCACCGGAGAAAAAAAAGAAGCAGATGGAGAGGAAGACGAGTGCTTATTAATCTATTATTTTTTTCATATTAATCCAGGTCAGATGGTAGGGATAATAAATTGCCAACTTAGCATTTTTTGTCAGTCCAGTCATACCTTTAACTGACAGCACTAAAAAAATGGACGGAATTGACTATTTTGTGTTTTCCTATAGTTATGGCTATATTTGTCACAAACGTGAAAGTTAGGGCTATGAAAATATACCTTTAACTGACACCGCTAAAAAAATGGACGGAATTGACTATTTTGTGTTTTCCTATAGTTATGGTTATATTTGTCACAAACGTGAAAGTTATGGCTATGAAAGTGTATTTTGCCTTGTTCTTTCTCTGATTCCCCAACTCTACTTCCTGCAGCTGCTGCCTTGCCATTATTGTTTGGCTGTGACTAATTTCCCTTTGTAGGTTGGCACGAAAACTGTTTCCTCTAGACACTTTCCTCCTAGTATCTATATACATACTTTCTTTTGTTGTTTTGCAAAGGGCTACTCTTTCTCTCTTTCTCGTTTGGAGTTACTTGCTTGAGGGTGGGTTGTTCGTTTATGGTTCCATTGAATATCCCCAACGAGCATTAAATGAGAACCAAGCAGCGAAGCATAGCTTTGCATTTATGTGAACCTTTTTTCATGGGTTTGCTTAGTCTCTCTGTCCTCCTTTGGCCTCTGGATTGAAGGGGAAATTTAAGCCTTTCTTCAACTCTCCACCTCCCTCTCTTTTACTTGGTTGTTACAGTTACTTAGCGATTTCACCACTCGTGCTTCTGTCCTGAGTCTCCTCAGGTATCATTTGCATGCCTGAAAACCAGAGCTAAAATTAATTGTTGCCTTCCAGTTCTATTGGCTTTTTGCTCCAATTGGTCTAGCCCTTTTAGAATAGTAGCTTGCTAGTTATACATATATATGCTCTTCAAGGATACTATAATAACTTATGCGGTAGTTTAAACAGTATACAAAGATTTACCAGAATGAACATGTGCAGTTTTCTACTGTGCTTTCTCTTGGTAGGGTGGTTTCACCTTTGTAGAGGACATGAAGAAGCAGCTGGGGAAGCATACTCTCCTTCTCCTTCTTCTACCCTGACCCTTGGGGATGGACACCAATACAGATACCACAACTGCAACTTTTCACTACCTCGTCTTCTTCCCATTTTTCTTCTTATCTTGTACCTTTGATCACCATGAACAGGGAGTTTCCTGTGATATCTTCAACGATTACTAGTATGTGACAACTCTAAATATTGGAACAAAAATGGAGAACTCTCTCTAATGCAGCAATCATGCAAGATTCACACACCCACCTATTTCAGCTAACCCACCTCCACACGTTATCATTCTACAACTACTTCATCGTTTCCCCCACAAGAATTCCAGCTTTAGTCACCAGCTGGAGCATGCTTTCAAGTAGCCTAGAAACCTTGGAGTTCCGATCAAATCCAGGCCTAATCGGCCCTGTGCTATTGATTCTCGGCAACCTCAATCGGCTGAAGTCTCTAATCCTACTCAAAAATGGATTAGCAGGGGAGTTACCAACAAAGATAGGAAACTTGGTTAAACTTAAGCAGTTGGTACTTTCATCAAACTGGCAAATTCCTGAAGCCCTGGGAATGAAGCGAGAGCTCTTGATACTCGACGCAAGCAGAAATTCGCTCACTGGGTCCCTACCTTTGAGCTTGGGAGGGTTGGTTTCGCTTCTGAAGCTCGATTTGAGCAGCAATCAGATTGGAAGAAAGCTTCCCTAAGAAAAGAAAAACCTTCAGAATCTCACGCTCCTGGACTTGAGAAGCAACAAGATATCAGGTGAGTTGGTTCCTCGAGCGGTGGAATCAATGGTTTCTCTCAAGGAGCTGGTCGTTTCCAACAACCCAATCGGCGGCGAAATCGAGGAAATTCTATGGCAGAGTTTGCCGAACCTAAAAATTTTGGAGCTTTCCCATATGGGTTTGGTTGGAACGGTTCCTGAGTCGATTACAGGACTGAAGAAGCTGAGGTTTTTATGGCTGAACGACAACAATCTGTCTGGTAGTCTATCGTTGAAGCTCGCGGAATGGAGAATTTGGGAGCTATGTATCTTCAGAACAATAATTTCGCTGGATTGATGGGATTTCCATAGAGATTTTACAGAAGAATGGGGAGAAGGTTTCGAGCTTGGAACAATGCACATCTTTGCTATCTAGAGGAACACTACAAGAAAACTCGGCTTTAGAAGCATATCTTATTTGCTTCTAAATGATATTTATTTGCCTCTATATATCTATTGAGTCAAATGCATTATTTGCATCGGACGCCTCCGTCTCTAATTCCTTTTAGAGACAAATATAGAAACAAATAATATATGCTACTAATTATGGAATTGGAGGCAAATTTATTTGACTGTGAATCTACTTAGAGCTTGTCTTTTGACTTCTTATTTACTTTTAAAGGCAGATACATTTGCTTGCAATGCTAGTTATTACACACAATCATATTTGCTTTTGATGTACGTAATGGAGACATAAATATTTGGCTCTAATGAAAACAATTCGAGACAAATAGTTTCATTGTTTTTTTTTTCTTTTAGTTTCAAATAATATCATTTTATATTGCCCGTTAATAATATGGACACCAGTGGTTTTCCAAAAATAAGAATATCTCGATTATATAAATCAAATACATGAATCGTTACATGGATCAAATCAAATTGAATACATTGATTTTGTTTACATTTCGAATGCCAATTTAGTTTGACAACGAAAAAACAACACTAAAAATGTATCCTTAATTAACAATGGAAGACTACCAAACTCTTTCTCTCTCCCTCATCATCTTTTTTCCATTGCTGCTGTTGCCAACTACCAACCCATCACTATTGCGAGCAAAGATGTGGAGACAATCAACAATCATAACCTACAAGGAAAAGAACAGGTACCTGAAGATCAAGAAACAAAATTTATTTATTCGATAAAATTATTGACAATCACAAGACTAAATAATAAACTGAATCGCTAAATGTCGCCCTTAAAATTGCTAACGGTCGCCCTAACTCTAATGATAAATGACTTATATACCCCTAATAAAATTTTAAAATTTAAACAAACCAAACAATCTCTAACCCCTCAAACTGAACCCCTCATCTACCTTATTCGCGAATCCTTCTCGACGCACCAGTTCGTCGACGTCTTTCCCGCCGTCGTCGTCGCCCATTCTCTAACGAAATTTCCAAAAAAACGCTCAAACTAAGGCAAGTTACGGTTGGTCCATGGTGCAATCGCAACTCACTTGCGGTTGGTCCATGGTGCAACCGCAAGTGAGCTGCGGTTGGCCCATGGTGGAACCGCAAGTGAGCTGCGGTTGCACCATGGACCAACCGCAGCTCATTTGCGGTTGCACCATGGACCAACCGCAGCTCAGCTGCGGTTGGCCCATGGTGCAACCGCAAGTGAGTTGCGATTGGTCCATGGTGCAACCGCAAATGAGCTACGGTTCCCTTTTTTTGTTTTTTTGTTTTCAATTTTTTGAGTGAACTTTACTGATTCAGAGACGCTAGTCATGATCCAGACATCGTATCGACGATTCCAACTCCAGAATGACGATGATGGATTCTCTCTTTTAAATAATGTTTTATTTTCTTTACTAAATGGTGTTTGTTTGCTAAAGGAAGAGTAAAGAAACTAAAAGGTCAAATTTGTAACTTTGATGTTTTTTAGGGCGACATTTAGCAATTTTAAGGGCGACCTTTAGTAATCCCATAATAAATTATCAACCAGCAATATAAACCTAAAACGCTATGTTGTAGAAGGAGGTATTAATCCGTCCCATTGAGGCAGCCGCACGAGGACAGAGGGATCAGGAAACTGAATCCGGTGGTGGTCGCAATGGAGACCCGACGATTGGCGCATTAAGGGCCAGATGGGACATGAATAAATCTCAATCTGCAAGATGAGGGACATAGAGGTTGGTTTTGTTCGCCAGTTAATTCTATGATGAGGAGACGGTGGAGGGAGAAGAAGACAAGACGGTGGTTGTTGATCTACCCTAAAATTAAAATTATAACTAAGCCCACCTTCAAGATGTAGATCTATTCACGCCATCGTGTTGATCATGTAAGCTTGTGGACTTGCCGTCGCTTAGAGAAGTCCTTCACTCCAATCTCGCCGTCATTTCCACTGGCATGCCACCAACTGCTCGAAGGAAGATAGAAGGGTAGAAAGTGAAAGGAAGAAAATAATAAGGGAATTAGAAGGTTCTGTAGAGTGTAGAGACTAGAGATGGAAGAAAAGGAAAGAGAAGATGGATAGCCGGCTCTCCGTTGAGATTCGGAAAAATAATTATTGGTGTGGTAAGAAAAATTATATATACCATCCTCTACCGTTATGAAATTAACCTTTAAAATTACATTCGTATTTATCTTAAAAATAAAATTCTGCCATAGCATAAGTAATAGCTGTATTTATCTCTAAAAACTATTAAAATTGTCTCTATATGACAATAAGTTTTAGAGACAATTAAATATGCTTCAATAAATGCTTTGTTAAAATGATTAGTATACTTTTTCGGAGAAAATGTTATAATCGTCTCTTAAACTACTAGTTTAATTTATCAATTAAATATTAAAAAATATTAATATACAGAGACAAATAGCAGAACATATCGAAGCAGATAATATATATGAGTACATAGCTTAGATTTAGAGACGAATGAAATAATTGTCTCTAATTATTTGCTTCTAAATCCTACTTTTTTGTAGTGGAACCAGAATCTATATCGCCGCTGGAAGCAATATCAGCAATGCCAGGAAGCAACAATGATGTTGTTCGACCGCCTTATGGTATGAAACGTTGTCGTTTTGTGATCACTAATTAACCCATGGATTGGTCCACAAATATAGTTTCGGTCTCTTGGTTGTTACTAGTATTGATGCTTTGATGATAGAGATGTAAGATGAGTGATCATAATGGGTTGGGTTGGGTTTTTTCAAATTCAAACTCAAATTAGTGGGAGTACACCTAACTTGATCCATCCACTACTCGCTCGTGTATGGATATTCATGTGTTCATGATTATAACATCGAATAATTCCTCCTAACCATGGTGGTCATGCTAGTGGCATGTCGGCCGGTTGAACCTGGTTCAATCTATGTCGGTCATGAAATTCGCGTGACACCACTGGTATGACCGGCATAATCTACTTACGCATTCTAAACAAAATAAAATATTTTGAATGAATTTAATTAATAAAAAATCTAATTTATTATTTATTTTATGAATATAATATTTAAAAGTAATTGGTATTTGTTGGATTTCAAATAAATTGTCCACAAATAAATTTTATATATGATTGAATTCCTTGGATATAAATTGTTTTCACATGTTTTTAAACCGGCATGAACCGATACAAACTAGTTATACCTCCAATAGCAAAGTATCAAATTTTGAGATTTTTTTCGAAAATAAACATTTTCAAAAGAAAATTCTCAAATAGTGGCACTTCACAAATATAGCAAAAACTTTGTTGACATGGCAAGGGGAAGCAAATGTAACCACTTGAAAGGATTTTCGTCCGAGAAGATGGAAGGAATGGCGACAATTCCTTCCTCGGCGGTGTTGAAGAGCGTTATTCCCTTTCACCTGGAAAGATAGGCGCATGAATCAAATATTCCGTGGATAGGCTACTGGGATAGAGATGATGAGGTAACGGAAGCTCTTCTACGATTTCTATTCGTATGACGTGTATGTGAATTTGGGGTTTGCTTGACGGAGGAAAGAATGAGAGCAAAAGGGAGGGGGGAAGAAAGGGATTTCTTTCTCAGGTAGGGAATGGATTGGTTTTGATACGACCTTCCATCATTTTTCTCTATCCTTCCATCGGATTCACCACAGATCTTGTTCCCCTATGCTCCTAGTCGCCGTCCATCCACCTTGATGCTCCCATTTCAAACCGTGCGGGCGGATACCCGCCTAAAACCCGGCTGGGCGGAGCAGTTCCAATCCGGCGTTGACGGGGAATGGACGGATTCGGGGAAACCCGTTATCCGTGGGTAACGGATGTCGGACAGTGACGGAGTCCATGCTATCCGCCCCGAGCCCGGCTCGATCCAGAAAATGATGTCGTATTATACCCATATATATATATATATATATATATATATATATATATATATATATATATATATATATCCTTCAGTCGAGCACGAGGTAAACCCTAATCCCTAACTGGAAACTCGCCGCTCTCTCTTCTCTTCTCTCCATCGCCGCTCAATCCATCGATTCGATTTCGGATTATTGCCAATCCCCCGGGAAATTCTCTCCATCCAGGCTGTCAATCATTCATTATCATCTTCATTCACCAATCAAAGCCTAATATCCTCATCGATTTAGGCAAGGAACAACATGCAAAAGGAGAAGATGACTGTTCCAATCTGCGATTCGAGGTTATTGGGAGGATTTGTCGTTGATTATTGTTCCGATAATCTAGAACTCGAGATAAGTACCTTCCAATTCAATTCTTTTTTCTTGTTTCAGTTTCTTCCTTTAGTTTTAGGTTCGTATAAATTAACTCGATTGCTTCTTTCTAGGGCCCTTCAGTTTCATCTTCATCTGCACCTGCGACTGCATGCTCTGATACTCGAGGTAATCACTAATCAGAGTTCCTTAGTCTTTAGTAAATAGTAGTTAGTAGTTTGTTGTATTAATTTTGACTCATTGGAATGTAATATTTGTACTTTTGTTTGAGTTTTTGCAGTTTCGTATCAGCCATTAGTTCA